CATCAATCAAGTCAGAATCTTCGAGAATTTGCCAATTCTATCTATATAAATTGATCCTTAATCAGCCGATTTTCTAATTCTAACCATAATAGAAGAATTTACACCTTATAGGCCTTGTTACAAAAAGTAGTTTATATTTAGTCTCAGGTTTTAACTAGTATATGTTTCATGAAAGAAATCCCGCGGAAATATGCGAACTAAAATATAAAGTACGAAGTTTGACAGCAGCCAGACGTAACGTAGCGTAGACTAGCCGCAGTCTAACTACTATTAACAGTCGGTCATCGAAGGCGTCTAGGCGGGGCAATCGTGCGGTGCGGTGCGGGCAGAAATACGGGCTGAGCACAACCCTAGCGGAAAGTTTCCGCTAGGGTTGTGCGGTTGTCCTGTCAAGCAAATAAATTAAAAATTTTCACACTACATGTCCGGTAAAAACTGTGGGTCGTCCTCTTTTAAAGATAAGGAATTAGTTTCATCAGTTTCCATTTACACATTAATTTGTTTAAACGTGAAATAAAATAAAATATTTTTTTTTTAGTTCTTTATTACTTCCCGTTCTGACAACCCTGCACAGGGTCTATTGTCTATGTCGGCTTTTTCGACAACATCAAACACGATGACTGACTGTATGTTCTTCTTAGGCTTGCAATAGCGCTGCAGCTAAGGGGTTTCCATATTTAGGAAGCACTCCTCTTAAACCATACTTTAAAACTGAGACTATTGATAAACCACTTTTTGTAATAAGCCGGAATAAGTTTTGTTTACTATTCCGGGTTAACTTTTATAACTAACATTATTACATAGCGTAAGGAAGTGTTTAGTCGGCTATCTACAATATTCTGACTATAAAAACTTCTTTTAAATAGTATTGTATTTAGTGTGACTGCAAAAAAACACTAAAAAATAAAACATATTCGTGCAGCAACGAAATGAAATTATATGTAGCATAATTAATAAATGAACTGTAAATATAATTAATATATTATGATCATAATCAATACATGAACGGATAACAGAAATTCGCAGTATGTAGAGAGAAGATAAATTTTAGATAGTTAATTAAATGCGATAAACTAAATTAAGGAAACTTTACAATCTACTCTCCGCCCCTCCCACTTCCATTTGAAAGGAACTCATTTAAATCTCTATATCTCTTTCCATTTGCAAATAGTTACTTACCAAGTAACGTAGCATCGCATTTTTGTTTCGCTCTTTTCCAATTTTTGTTATTATTTTCATTCCATCTTAATATCTAAGCGACAATAAAATAAGATTAGGGATAATTTAAGAATAATGCTAAAGTTGTGCGTTACTCTACGAATTTCGCTTTGAAATATTATTTTCATAACATATGAGTTCAGATTGACGAAATATATGAAAAAAAAAACCTTGCACTCATTAAAAAAAAGTAATAAATTATGATTCCTCAAGTAACAAATAAATACACTAAATTGCATATTTAGTCCCAAAACAAAATTGCCTCTTATAAAGCTGCTCAAAACAATACGTGGAAGTTAATAAACTGAAAAACGTATTAAATGCAAAACTTTAAAGTATAAAAATGTTTAATTTCGAAATAATCTATAATACTTTAAAACGCAAAACCTTAATTTTTAAACATCTTACACACAAATATGACAAAATATAACTAGTCATGAAATCAAATGGCATCAAAATGTTAGCAAGCGACCAACATTTTAAATATACTTATAATACATATTTGTATATAATTTTTAAAATTAATATAAGTTGGACAACTTGCCATTGTAATTCAATCTTTATTTTATCATATTTACAGTCACATTCTTTATCTATAACAATTTTTTTTTAATTTTTCATACACATAAAATGACAATTATAGTTTAACATTAAATTAACAACCAGTAGACTTTATTTATAACTTGCATAACATCGGTATATTAATTTTGATACATATTTCAATAATTTTACAACAGAATGCAACTAAAGCACATGTCAAAAATGCCCTTAATAGAAATAAATCGAAGCATGATTAAAATAATAAGTTATTTCACTACTTCAACATAGAGTAGAATCGAGTAGCTGTAATAGTGTGGCGTATAAAAAACTTTTGTTACATCCGAAATATTCCATACCGCTCATACGGTCGGTCGAGTAACAATTAATTAACAAAATCAAGAACTCCTTGATGTTCCAAAATCAATTGACAATATTAGGGCAGACTGCTAGCATGACATCATTTCAAAACCATTCAACAAATCAACATTCAAATGATGAGGAAAAAATCTGTAATATAATATCTTGAAAGAAATATAATATATTAAAATAATGAATCTCTTAAAGATGTTAAAATGAAGTTTGCTAAGATCCGCGTAATAAAATAGAACGATGTACCTTACCTAGGTTTCAAGAACACCTACCGCCTTTCTTCAATTGCATGCACTAATCCACGTTAACACTAAGGCCCAATTTACACTGCCGCGGAACGGAACGTAAGCGAATTTTTGTAAAAAATTGTACATAGTAAAATGAGCTTTATGTTAACTGTATAAAGCTCAAACTAGATATGAGCCAAAAAAAAGTCGCGCGTCTTCCGTGGAATTCTCGAGGATTCCCCTAGCTACTGTTGGCGCAGTCTGTGGAATCCGCTGGAAGCGGCGCGAAGGTTGTGGAATCCGCTGGAAGCCGGGAAGTGACACTCGCAGCAGTGCGACGTCAAGCGCCTACGAAACAGGTTGTGTATGTACTGTGTGACTAAAAAACATAGATTTAGACGAAAAGTTGATCTTTTTCGTGCAAAACTATGACTGTTTGTATAACGTACAAGCTAAACGAGGCGCAGTCGCTGGAATTCGCGCGGCTTCCGAAATGGAAGCGTCAATTTCGCGACGAGGCGAAATTGACGCTTCCATTCCGGCGCAATGTAAATTGACCCTTATCCAAACAAGACTACACCCAATAGCACTACACTAGGAAAGATACACCACCGTCGATAATACATCACGTGTTTCGCCTCTTAGCGAGGCATCATCAGGTGAAATAAATGGTCATTATGCGTATTATGGACGGTGGTGTGTCTTTCCTAGTGTAGTGCTATTGGGTGTAATCTTGTTTGGTTGGTAATGATGTTGGGATTAGTGAGGAGAGGCACGCAATTGTGAGATGTCGGGAAGTGCTCTTCAAACTAGGTAAGACACATCATCTTATTTTATTACGTAGATCTTGGCTTATTAATTTTTAACATCTTTAATATACTGGATTTCCGCAAAGTAACGCCTGACTCTATTAATTAAAGAAATGTATTTCTTTAGTCATGATATAAAGACACTTAGCATCAGGTAGAATGTTAGCTTGCTGGTCTATCCGCTTAGTTGGTGAAAAATTACTTCGCGTACATCCGCTCGATAAAATAAAATGAGGTGTCTTACCTAGTTTGAAGAACACCTCCCGCCCTCCCTCAACTGCGTGCAGTGCTGCGGTGGCTGACCGCTAAGTCACCGCACAGTCTAAATCACCTGAAGATGCCTCGTGTAGAGGCGAAACACGTATTGTATTGTCGTCAGTGGTGTCTTTCCTGGTGTAGTGGTGTTGGGAGTAGTGGTGCTGGGGTTAGTGGTGACGGTGACAGTGCACTCAATTGAGGGAGAGCGGGAGGCGCTCTTCAAACTAGGTAAGACAGATAATTTTATTTTATCGAGCGGATGTACGCGAAGTAATTTTTTACCAACTTTAATATAATGGACTTCCACAAAGTAACGCCTGATTCTATTAATTATTAAGGTCTATCTGCTTTCTTGCAAAGAAATTACTAGAGGATTATTGATTCTTCAGTCCATTATCTTAAAAATATAAATAACATAGCGACATACGAGTATAAATAACATAGCGTCTTTAGTAGCAATAGAATGCAGTTTAATGACTAATTTGTAATGACGTACCCTATTAAGTGTAAGGATTTTAAGATTAATTATAATTGAACACAATAAAATTCTATTTACATATACAAATGCCATGTGTTATAATCATAAAACAGTGAATTTAAGGCAATTGCAAAATATTAAACTTTTATTAGTATAACTATTTCATATAACATACTATGTATGTATATGTATATACATACATAGTATGTTGATTTATTTTTAAAAACCTCAATTTTCGGATCTGCTGATTTTGTAACTATGTTTTATAACTTTCTCATGGCCCATGTTTTATAACTTTCTCATTGGCCTGCCAAGGAGCAGTTTAATGTAACATTATAATGATGTTATCTTTATTGAGCAATTTTGTCTATGCAATTATCAGCAAACCATCAGGTACATCAAATGCTGGCAGGCTGTGAGTCATTTCATCTTCGCACTCAGAGCTAACAACCCAACATTAACTTTCCTTGTTTGTATTTAGTCACAGGTATCTATATCAGCAATAGACCCCTGACCTAGTGGACTGCAAATTTGTTTATGAATTGAGTATAATGAAAATATGCCATTATAACAGAATAACATTTGTTCCCTAAACTTAATGGAACATATGTACGTATTATATTGCCTAAGATGTATGGTAGACTTGGTTGTAAGATCTCAGTTAAAATAGGTACAGTCTCAAAACTAAATACACACCTAATACAATTAACTTTATTGCATATATTATCATACAATAATATTTACTGCTCACAATTGCCAAAAAAAGCCAGGAGAATGCTTACCAGTACAATGGTCTTAATATGTCCTAAGTATGACTTTAATTTGTAGTTTATAAATGCAAGTTTTGTAATGTTTTTTCATTGTGTAAAATCTAATTTTAAATCATAATTGAATAAAAGGCGATCCTAATATGGATTCACGAATGTATTGCCTTAAAACATGTCTCATAAAATATTTATAATTATATTCTAAAATAGTAATTTTTCTTTCAGTAATTTAAGATTAAAAATAGTGTGAAAGTTGACTTATAGTTTGTTAAGGAAAGTTCCAATAAATTGACATATTCTTTTGTAGAAATATATATTTCATATAGTCACCTAATTATAATATAGATTTGTTACCATTATTTGACCAGTTTATTAATGTGTCTGATGATGCGTCTTCTATATCCAATAGAAGATCTCTATCTTTGTCAATATCAATTGAATTATTGACAGCCTCATCTTCATGCGATTGCAAGTTTACATATGACAAAGATTTCTTTTTTTGGCCCAAGTCAAATATTTCCAAGTCTTCATCGTCATCATCATCTGACTCCATAGTCAGTGGTATTCTAGAAAGTTCCATATTATCTCTTCTGTCGTCCGATTGGAGTACGCCATATCTGAATTGATTTGTTTCACTATTTCCATGCAAGTTATTGGCATCGGTTTTCTTATGGTTCCATCTGGAAATTTCAAAGGAAATGACTGTTAGTTCCATGCCTATTATAAAGTTAATATTTGTGTGAAACAAATATCCACTACACTGCTAATATTATTTGTAATTTTAAATTATTTATTTCTTGCTTATCATCATTCATAACCATAGTGAGTTTTTATACAGTACAATTAAGTACATATTAGTAATATAGTTGTAGCATGAATGGGTCGGCTCGACCAGGGAATGGCCACACTCTCACAAAATACCAACGTAAAATAGCAGCCTAACACTGCTGTATCTCGTATGGTGAGTGATAGAGAAGCGGAGACCCTTTTTACTGGAAACGAGACTTTCCATCTTAGTCCTCATGGGTGACAACGCACATCTACATTTTGATTCTTTATTGAGGATAGATCTAGATGTCTATGGGTCACAGCAGCCACTTACCATCAGATGGCTCGTTTGTCACCCTAACCTATAAAAAACAGTACAGTCCACTGCTGCTAGGGGATATAACTGCCATGCTTGATAGGCAGGTTGACAATTGCAGTTATTATTATATTGAGTAGTTATTAGGAAGATGCTGCTGTCTATCTACTGTATTATTTCCCCTGAGTCTCCTCTTTCGATACCCGCAGGAATGACATGGGGTGATGGATTCCATTACACTGACACTACATAGAGCAGCCACACACTAGGCAAATACTATGAACTTCCATTTGGCATGATCCCGACACACCTCTCTTACCACATTCATAGATCTATACATACATGCTTAGTAGTGCGGTGAAATTGCTCTTTTTTTATAGGAGAGGGTGCAAACGAGCATGCGGCTCACCTGATGGTGAGTGACTACCGCCGCCCATGAACAGCTGCAACACTAGGGGAATTGCAGATGCATTGCCGGCCTTTTAAAAAGGAGTAGGCTCTTCTTGAAGGTCCCTAAGTCGTATCGGTCTTGCACTATCACTCTTTCCTCATTTATAATTTCTAAGTCAAAGTCAGTCAGAGCCACCAAAGCATTCCTCTTTTAAACCTGCAGAGCGCATTTCTACAGCATTAATTTTACTCTCATGCATCTTCTGCCACACCCAACTTTCACTTTCATATTATGTTAGGGCTTATATTTTGATTTAACTAAAAATAGCACAAACTTTTATTAACACAGTGTATAATTAGATTATAATTAATAATAATGTTAAGACATTTACACAACACAATGGAACCCAATGGGACCAAACCCTTAAGGTTTTTTTTAGAATAAGGGTGAAAAACGAGCACACAGTCCACCTGATGGTAAGTAGATGCTGTGACCCATAGACATCTACATTTATCCTCGATTAAGAATTAAAATACAGATGCGTTGTCACCCTTGAAGAATAAAATGGAATGCCGTGTTTCCAGTAAAAGAGGTCTCCGGTTCTCTACACTTAACATATGTAACACAGCAGCATTAAACTGCTATTTTACGCTGGTATTGTGACAGAGTGATCCTACCCCAGTTGGGCCGACCCATTCACACTACAACCATAATATCGCTGAAGAGTGGCTCTACCACACATACCACATATTGGAAATATTTTGTAATTGGAAGTTTCAATGAAAGCTGAAAAAGTAACAAAATAATTATCCCTCGTCAGCCCATAATGGTACACTGCTGGTAATAGGTCGAATGCACAGCGCAATCAACAATCTTGTGAGGGCTGCACCTGACTTTGATATATTTGTGGATAGTTGGAATGTGCTGCTGTCAGCTTCTTTACAATTTTGTGAAAGCAATGATATATAGTTTGTATTTTACATAGTATAGTTTTAGTTATAGCATAGTTTATTCTCATGTGCCTTTCAAACTTATTAATTACTGTAATTGGAGTAAAACCGTTGTAAATAATTAAATAAATTAAAAAAATAGGCTTTTCCCATTGAAAAGAGTACAGTACATGAGGCTTTTAAAATTAATTAATCAATTAACCCAATTGATTAATTAATTTTAAAAGCCTCATGTACTGGCACCTTTGACGCTACCATCTGTCGCCAATCAGTGTATTTTGTCTGGTGTAAACGAGACAGCTAATTATTGTCATCTGTGGGAAGTCATCATATTTTTCTGGCAATTCCCATAGTTGCCTTTTACATAAACCATGGGATGTAATGGAGTGATGAACACTTTATTCGTTATTAGATAGATGAAAACTAAAGGGTGAGTGATATAAGAACATTGACCATCAATATCTAAATTACCTGTAAAATATAAAATATGCTACAGCCATTAGCGCAAAACCACCAAAAACTATAAGACCTCTCTTTAAAACTCCAGGATTATTGATGTCTAATGGGCTAGGGCTTGCTTTGACAGTAGTTTCATTGTTTTTAGCTTCAACGCCATTTACTGAAATTGGTGGTACAGCTGGTGGTATTATTTCTTTATGTAACTCGTTTGTAGTTTGATTAGCATTTGCTGAAAAAGAGTAAAATATGAGCACCTGATTTATATGAATGACTTATATTATTTACCTATAAAGACAGTAATAAAAATTTACTCTAAAATATTAGGTTTTGTAAAATCAATCATGATATAACACAGATTACAGAAAAAATGGTTTTTAAATACTCTTTATATCATCAAATTTATTATGATAGCTTAATTATTGTAACATATTAACTGTTGCGGTCATTTCTAACTTCTTAATTAGACCCACTATAATAACTACAAAGCAAACCACAAAAACTTGCATAATAAGTTAAAAGTGAAGTGCTGTGAGCATAAAATGATTCTCACCACTGGCCACATGCTTCCTCTAACTTCTTAGAGGGTCATGAAGCAATTAGTCCATCACGCTGATCCAGAGTGTGCTGGCGGACTGTCATATTATGACCTGTAAATATTTTCTGCCGACTTACAAAAAGGAGACAGTACTCAATTCGACTGTATGTTTTTTTTATATGTGTATTACCTCATAACTTTTTACTGGGTAAACCGATTTCGATGATTGTTTTTTTATTTGAAAACTGGTACTTCTTGTGTGGTCCCATATGAATTTGATCAAGGTCAGACCAATAGTTTTTGAGTTATTCTTAATAACTTATATTGAAGTCGGCTGTTCAAAATTTTTAATTTTAAATTAAATTTCTCAGATGTGCAGGTTTCCTCACAATGTTTTTCTTCACGGCGGATCATGTGGTAAATAAACAATTAAAATTGCAATTATTAATTAATTGGTGTGGGCATGAAGCAAGCTTGAGGTTATTTTCAACTTGGAAATTCACATAATGATTTCTTATATTTACGCGAACACTACACATTGAATAAAACAATTTTTTTACGGATTTTATCGTGTTTAATTAACTTATTTTATATTCCCGACGTTTTGGTTGCTTTCCAGCAACCATGGTCACGGGGGACTGAGGTGACTGACGTCCCAATGTCAGAGTTAACCTGGAGTAAATTACCCGGATTAAAAAAGCTGAAGGTAACGCTTAGTACCTCATCTACTATGGCTCTTTCAAAAATTAGTTAAATATACTTGTTAGAATTTCTTAGTATCTTGCTGCATGTAGCAGAGAGGGAAAAGTGGTGTGGAGGGCAATCCGGTCCCTGAAGTGGTGATATAGAAAATTTAAGTTTTTATTTGTGTCAAGTGACCCTAAGTATTTTATTTGAGTTTATTTGACCTAAAAATATATTTAATCTTGCAACAAATTTGCCATAAATGCTTCACCATTGAAGTCTACATATCATATATGTATTTGGGTGAATATACGCTATTTGAATTCCAACGGTCCATAGACAAATTTTATGTTAAACATAATATATTATTGTTACTGTATGCTTAAGCAATAAAGAATATCGTCTATTATTTGGCCCACACAGTCAATTCACAATAATTGTTTAATTTAAGGCATTAATAGCTTAAAATAGTTATAAATGTATAGTCCCCTGGCCACCCTCATTACTAGATTGTATAATTTTATGGCCATATGTATTATATACTTAAGCCATTATGTTTTCTTTTAACATGATCATACGCCTAAATAAACATCGAAACATATTTTATGAAAATACATTGTAAAAATATTTATTAATATAAAAAAAAATATCTTATTTTCACGTGCCGTTACAATTATGTCACCTCACCTGGCGAAACTGAAAGACTAAAAATTTTACATAAAACCGCTAAAGTATGTTTTTGAGCTTGAACTACAAGCGTAGTACAGTGTGAAGTTCGAAGTAAGCTAATGGTGATGAGCAAAACTCAAATAATATTGCGTCAGTTTTGGATTCACTGTAAGAAAGCGTGTTTGTGCCAGTCGTTGGAGTATTTCCCTTGGTAAGTATACGTTTTTGTATTTTGTTGTTACGAAATTATAAATTTGCACAGTGCAATGTTTATTTTGTGTAGATGTCACGTATTACGTTAAACTGTGGTTAGAAAAACAAGTGATGTTGTTTTTGTAGGTTGTGTGTGATTTTGTCACTTCTCTGGCGTCACTTCTCTGGCATATTTCATGTCAGGGGAAATACAGCCGTCCCAGGGAAGTGATGAAATTTTGTTTCGTTAATATTTAATCTTATAACGCTTCAATTTATTTGTTCTATGTACCATGATATCATGGCGAATGTTAAAAAGAAGCAAACAAGGGAGATGAGAATCAAGATGATAAATTACGCTATCAAATAATTAAAACGATCCGGTTAATAAAAAAAGGAAAAGGGTCAAACTAAGAGCATTAATGACATGATTGAAAGGGAACAAAGAGCTGTTAGAAAAATACGGAGAGAGAAGACTATAAAGTTACACTCTACCAGAAACTATCAAGTAACACCACCGTCATCTGATAATGAAAACCAACCTCCACTTTCACAAAGCAATTTGGCTCTGGCTGCTAAAAGACGATCAGAAAGTCAGCATTAAGTACAAAATAAAGTTATAAAAAAACAAAAATATGAAATTACGTCAAAAACTACATTAGTAACAAAACAAACTAAGGCGCATCGAAAAACAGAAGAAGGAGCTCCAAGTGATATCGGAAAGACATGTAAACGAACCCCTGACAAAGTAGTCGCTTTAGGAACTAACATACACATACACATACATACAAGACTTTGTTAAGGAATTAGAAAAAAAATGCCCCAGCATTCATATTTTTGTGATACACGAAAAAGAAATTGATTTACGAAGGAAGATAGTTAAAGATAATCGACCGAACATTAAACCTTTTGCTGGTACAATAAAAGTACATGAAGTCCGAGGAACCTTTATGAGCAGTACGTAGTACATCAAGAGCTTCAGCTGCTTTGGTAGCAACTTTTGCCCTCACTTCCACTTAGACGACATTAAATACACCCAAAATGATAAAACCAAATTGCATGTTGCTGCAGTATACACCGATTCTGAGGAAATTGTGCAAAACAAAATGATTCCACAAACATCTACTAATCTGATTAATACTATAGACAATAAAGACACGGCTATGATATTTTTTTTATAGGATAGGGTTCCGCTGTTTTACGCTGGTATTCTGTGAGAGCGTGGTCTTTCCCCGGCCGAGCCGACCCATTTGTGCTATAACTATACTACTAATATAGCTGCAGCATGGCTCTACCATGTATAAAACGTGGTAGAGCGTATGATTGTCAAGAACCGTAAATTTATACTTGTGGAATAATAAAAAATATAGGTATGCTGGCGCACGTTTGTCAGATTATGATGAAGAAAAAGGATAGCTCAGGGTTACTTTCCTAAAGATCTCCAATAAGATGGTACTCTTTTTAGAATATCTGTCTGATGTTAAATGGGAACGGATCTTGACCATACTACCAGTGCCAAATATACTTATGAAAGGTAACAGATTATTCTACAAGTTTCCAGAGCCAGTTAATGTATTTGAAAAGTAAATTGTTGATTGTTTTGTATTAAAGTAAAATATATTAATTTAGTCAAAATTATCTTCTTTGCAATAAATGAAAGTTTTCATTTGTACTGTGCACTGATAATTTTTAAGTTTATTTGTTTAGATAGCCTCGATAATGATAGGTGTTTCACTAGATAGTACTATTATTTTTTGTTGCAAAGTTTATTTTTCTGTTTAATTTAGAAGTTTTATTTAGATACACCTAAAACATTGCTTTAAGTTTTTGAACATTTTATAATTAAAATTGTTAAATACCATGTGCTGTAATATTTATATTAGATAATTACTTTAAATCTCAGATGAGAATGATAAGTAGAAAACATTAATTTCATTATTTCATTCGGGCAATTGAAACTTAAGCATTAACAAACCATTAATATTAAAAATTAATTTGTTGAAAGAAGCTGAAAAAACTGTTAACATGTATCTAATATATTAAAAAATATCTAGACTATAATTTATATGTGTTTTATTCAATATTATTCCCCTTTCTTAGGTAATAATTAATGAATTGTTTACTATCCTGCATTAATTTGTCACTACTCTGCCAATAGTGTCACTCCCTTGATAACACATTTTCCCCTGGTGCTTATAAAATTGAAAAAAATGGAAAAATCTTCTGGCCCGTATCATTACAAATGCACAAATAGTGTCAAATAGTGATATTATTAATGTTGAATTAAACAGACTACATTTCCTTCAGGGACACAAAAAAATCAAATACCGTATATTCACCCATTTATCATATCATGTGTAGTAAGTTACATAAAATATATGTATTATATGAAATAACAACATGAAACTTGCCACTATGTTATAATTGATATTAAACATGTGATGCATCACACAAACAATATGCCATTGTATCTATATCATGTTTGTTTTATTTCATTGACATATTATTACATATATATAGTGGATATCGAAATCTATGTACATTATAATATTTGTGGATTGTTTAAATCTTCAATTTGATTGTAGATTTTGTAAGAAAGGGTGTTTGTAAGGAGGTACTTTTAATTTACTTAATATGTACATGCTTAAACTTTTATATGTACTAACCTTTAGAACTATCTTCTTGAAGAATCTTATTTGTGCTGTTACTAATATTACCAATTTGTTTGCCATTAGTGTTTTCTGACAGTGGTGTTAATTCAGGTGATGGGTGTGAAAGTTTGATATTAGTCCCACCACCTTCGTTCTCTCCCACTTGTCCTTGCGTTTCTCGTTTCCGAATATTCATCAAGCGTGCACCACTATGAACCGTAGGCCATAAAGAATATATACTGAACTCTGGATCACTTCTCTTCAGTCTACCATTTTTATAAGCATTTTCAGATGTCGTAACAAAACTTAGAAATAATATAAGCAAGCCACACCGCAATATCATCTTTTCGATAGTTTATAAAAAAAAATAAAAAAAAAGGAAATTGTATTTTACTGCATTATTTATTTCATTAATCTGATCCCCTTCTCTTAATTTCAGGAAGATTTGAACTTTACCAAATTGAAGGAAATGGATTGTGGTTTACAACATAAAAGATCTACACGGACATATAATATATGAATTGCGCAAAAATAATTTAATAAATTATTTATGTTTAGAATAGTGACTTCACAATGACATCAGGGCTATCGCGCAGAGTAGATACCATAGATAAAGATACCTCCCGATAATATTAGATTATCTATGGTAGATACATTATATTCAATTATATTGAGAGTAGTGATGAGTCAACTCGAGTTACTAACTCGAGTTGGATCTCCCTAACTCGAGTTTGGGCTGCTGTAAAATGAACGGATCAAGTGAGTCAGCAAAAGAGTTAGAGCGCGATTCGTTCGTTGTGTGCGCGCTTTGTGTTTCAAAGAGTATTTAGCCAAAACCAAAACAATTTGTTCTTACATAATTTTGATTAATTATGATTAACTTAGTTATGTACGTCACAAATTTATTATTATTTTAAACCTATTGTATTACCCGAAAATGGTAGTAAGTTATAAGATACAACATATTTTAAATTAACGTCAAACGCCAAAGACTAAGGTTACAATAAATATTTAGAATTTGAATTTATTTAAGAATATTTTGACTGTGATAATTAAATTATTAATAGCATATTTTGTATATAGCACATTATGTACCTACATCTTAAAGCTCGACTAATATTCTGAGGTGAACACTGCCATACATACTAAATATACCTTTTTATTTCAATACTACATAATAAGTTTGGTAATTATAGTTATCCCAACGCACGAAAGTACTAGACAGAAAAACAAACTTATAAAAAAGTAATTTGTAACAAATCATTTACTGTTTCGTACTGCTAACTCGAGTTGCGTAACTCGAGTCGTGATTTTTCCGAGTTGGCACATCACTAATGGAGAGCATAATTTTTTTTATTAAACTGGCTTTACAGCTCTGGGTTCTAGCCCTTCTGAGCACTCTTGAGAGCATAAACTTTGTCATTAGCAAAGAGTATATCGTCGGTCGAAAACAGTAGTGGAACATCTCTGAAAATTGGTTTTTAACTTTTTATGAGTGTTACATTACTATTTCAGTGCCAATTCTATATCAGTATCGGAATAAGTCAAACTCCACATAGAAGTCGATTAAAAATAAAAGTTCCACTTCTACTCTGTGCATATAATATTATTCAGTATTGGGACACTTCGAAATGTTCCAATACGGCACTCAAAATCAAAAGTTGAATTAAATTTATTCCACCACGCTTCTCGATCTCGCTTGAGTCTCGCGCGCATTTGTTTAGTTACGCGCTGCATGCTGCGCTTGGTAGACGTATTGTCAAAACTAATACAATCTGCAAAAATGTCTGTGTCTAAGTTATATGGAAGATCAATGAAAATGTTGCAAATGGTAATCCATGAAGACGCCAATATTGAAAACAAAGGTGTGTATTCTATTTGTAACGTTTGTGTATTTTGTAAGGAGTCGTTACTTTTAAAATTTTGCACGCTTTGGCTATATTTTAACCACTTTTATTCTACAGAAAGTGATATAAAGCAAGTTGAAGAGTATTCTTTGCCACAAAATGAAGAACAAAGTCTAGGTAAATAACTTACGTGTTTTATAAGATATGCTTATTTATTAACTTTTGTGTTTTATATCTAATACATGTTATTAAACATTCTGTCCTATTAACTGTTTTTATTGCTTTTAAGATGCTGAACAGATATTGAACATAGAAAAATCTACAGGCACTATTTTTATATCTAATAATAATGAAGTTGGTGAGATACAGCAATACGTTGAAGAGAATACTTTGCCCCTGAATGAAGTACATAATCGAGGTACGTACCTATCTTCATGTATTTAAGTACATAATAGAGGTACCTACGTAACCTATCTGCGTATATTATTTTTGTGTTTTGGTATAGTGTGTATATTTAACTGTTTGAATTTCTTTTAAGGTGTTGATCAGGCAATAAATATGGAAAGTTGTACAGACTATAGGTTCGTAGCCAGCCAGCATGAGCCAGCAAATGAAGCTTCTAATCTAAGTATGATTTTTTATACCATTTTAATAAATTAGCTTGCTGCCCATCAACATGTTTTTCATAGTTCTAAATTATTTATGCAATAGCTTTATACGAGGTCTTCGTTTGCTTAGGTGGCGAGCTTATTGAAATTTTACGGGGAGGAGAAGATAAAGAAAATAATACACTAAATAACAGAGAGCCGTCACCATCAACCCCGCTTTCTAAAAATAATGCTTCGGAAGAAAAGAAGAAGTTGACAAGAAAGAGACAACGAAATCCCGAGGCATGGAAGAAAAATAAAAAGAAATGTTTGAAAAATTCAGGTATGGCTTACACTACTGAGAAAGGAAAATTAGTTAATGCTAAACAATTAAAACCTGGTTGTGGAGACAAATGTCGCTTGAAGTGTACACTGATGATTAATGAGCAGCAAAGATTAGTAATATTCAATAATTTTTGGATATTAGGTGATTTGAATAGACAGCGAGATTTTGTCAAAAATGCTATGAAAGAAGTAAAGCCGAAATATTCGCTACATAATGCTCAGAGTAAAAGATCTATTAATGCGGCTTATCATTTAACAGTAGATGGTATAATTATAAGGGTATGTAAAAAGTTCTTTATGCACACTTTGGATATAGGGCACTCATTTATAACGACGGTATGTAAGAAAACAACATCATCGGGTATAGTTTTAGAAGATTTAAGAGGTAAGCATAACAAGAAAGGTAAACTATTACCTGACTTTGTTAAGGATGGAGTACGTGAACACATTAACTCATATCCTACTAAGGAATCGCACTACTGTCGAGCATCATCAAATAAACAATATTTTGATGGTGATTTAAATCTATGTATGATGTACAGGCAATACAAAGAGTGGTGTAATAAAGAAGGTAAGCCTGAAGCTAAACAAGGAACGTATGAAAACATTTTTAGAACTGAATTTAATATAGCTTTTCATGTACCAAAGAAGGATCAGTGCTCTCTTTGCTGTTCTTATAATAATGCAACAACAGAACAGAAACAAGAAATGGAAAAGAGTTATAAAGATCATCTTACAGAAAAAGAGCTTTGCAGAGAAGAGAAGAGGATAGATATAGAAACATGCAAAAATGACAAACAAAAGATTATTTGTTGTTATGACTTGCAAGCGGTTCTTCAAACTCCAGCGGGTAATGACTCGCTATTTTTTAATAAGAGACGCCTTAATGTTTATAATTGTACCGTATATGACATCGTTAATAAATCTGGACATTGTTATTTATGGGACGAAACTTTGGGTGGAAAAGGATGTGACGAGGTAGGATCTTGTATTTTACAGTTTTTCAAAGAGTTTTGTAATGGAAAACATGTCATATTTTATACCGACAATTGCTCAGCACAAAATAAGAATAAGTATTTATTGTCATTATACTATTATGCCTTAAAAATGTTGGGTGTGAAATCTATAACACACAAATACTTTGTTGTCGGGCACACTCAGAACGAAGGCGATAGCGTTCATGCCACTATTGAAAGAGAAAAATCCCGAATATTAAAAAATGGTTCTGTGTTCGTACTGTTAGGAGGCCGATCCCGTTTGACTTTTTAAAAAAACCACAAGGTAAACCTAAGGGTTTATTATAAAAAGTTTACACACACAATTAATATTAACCCTGACTTCCGAACTCTAATACGTATCGGAATCTATGTCCGATCTACCCGGGGCTCTGAATCTAACTGACTGTAAAATGGAATGAAATTAATATGGAAAAGAACAATGCAATTACTGATTGACGTCATATATAGGAAAAGTACCGTGGGATTGAATAAATGCTTACTAAGATTTAACTGCGTTGTAAAAAGGGATATAACAGCTCCCCCCTTTTGACTGAGCTTTTTCTAAATTAAGATAAAGCGAAGTTTCGAAATAGAGAAATAGTTAGAGGTCGGAAGGCGTTACAAAATATAGAAATAGAAAATTAAATTTATAGTAAAACATAGAAAATTTATCTTATAACAATATAAACTTTCGAACTATTTGATTTTACATAAAGATAAAGTAAGTTGTAACTAAGTTATGTAAAAGAAACAGAGTAAGATTTAACAAATAAACAATATAAAATAGAACAATGAATTTATATAAAGGTAAAATAGTAAAATCTAGAATTAAAAGTATTTTAAATGAATTAGTAGAATTACGAGTAGAAATTGATTTTTAATAAACAAAATAGTATTTTCAATTACAATTTTCATTTTAACATTGTATATAATTAAATAACAATACACATTTAAAATTAAAAAATACTTATTACAATTAGATTGAATAAAAAATAGTAAAATGTAGCAATTACAAAATATAAAATGACAAAGTAGAAATTGAAATTGTATAATAATAAAATTAATCAATTGTTTTAATACAAACATTTTTGTAAACTAAAATTGAATAAAATTAGAAATTAAGATTTCTTCCGGAGGAAGAGTGAACTTTGTGTACAGTTCTATAAGGTTCACAATTAGTACAATTTGGTAAAGATTTGGGTGAGTTATTATCTTCTTCAGATGTTGACATATCAATCATCTCAATTGAATTTGTAGTTTTAGAATTATGTTTCGACGACTTTTTATTATTACACTGATTAAATATTTGTATGCAATGTCCACTATTATTGTTTCGATTTCTGGAACATTTAAATAATTTGTAGGCTAAGTACAAAAATAGTAATACAATTAAAATATAAGTAAATGTGGAATAGTATGAACCGTATTTTATAAAATGTGATTCCTTTTGAAGATTATTTAATTCAAATTCTAAACTATCTAGCTGATGATTTGCATATTTTAAGGAATCCAAGTTAACTTTGCTTAGAGAGATTGGCGTTAAATATGGTAAACTTTTATTAAATACATCCTTTTTGCAACAATCATCTCTTGTTATGTCAAAGCTTATATCTATAGTTGACTTAATCGAAAATTGATAAGTACTTGTTGGCAATAATTGAATAGTTTTGGAATAACCGATACAATTTTCGGTTAATTTGACAATACCTGTGCCAATAATAGAATGATCAGTAATATCATCGTTACATTTGATAGTTAATTTATTTACATTGGATTGTACATATATCCATTTATTATTTTTTAATTTATGCCAAATATTGATTTGGCCAAATAATAACTTGGAGTTACATTCAGAAGGTAAGGAAAGAGTTACTTCTGTTAATAATTTCGATTCACAATTAGGATTATTTATGCTAGACGTTATAGTAAATAGTTCACAAATAGAATAGTTATTATTAATAAATTTACAATCATCTAAGTTATTAAACATAGTATAATGTATTCTATCGTCACTTAAAGCAATATAAGAATTAGAAGGTTGAATAAGTGCAAACGTTTGTATATGCGACTCGTCGTGAGGAGTCGGTAATGGGATATTTTTATAAACAATGAACTTATCAGGTGTTATTAATGGAATCTGCAAGCTGAAAACAATCTTATTGTTATAATAATATGAACTAAGTTTCGAAACATCAATTAACGAATGAATATTATGTATGTTCAATTGCACTGGAAAATCTAAACGTTTATTTATTTGATTGATATGCTTGGTTAATTCATTATAAAGACTTAAAGGGCTAATCACGCTAGGATGCAAAACATTTACCTTGGAAAATAGGATAGCATTTATAGTCGTGTCTAGCAAGTTAGAAATAGCAAGTAAGGAGCTTTCAATTATGTTCAATAAATTATTTATTCTAGAAATGTTAATAAGTAAATTATCGGTTTTTGTGATTTGCGAAAGGATTTCATTCATTTTATTAATTTGTGAGTTTAATCTTAATTCATTTTGGTTTAATTTATAAATAGTGGCATTAAAATTATTTATGGTAGATTTAATTATGTGAATATTGTCTCTGAATAAATTAAATAGTTCTGTTTCACTTTTCCGACATAATTCTATCGCGGCATCATATTTTCGCGCATCATCTGCGTCTAGAGTACCGAAGAAAAATTTAAGAATTTCGCCTCCAAATTCTAGAGATCTTTTAACTCTATTTGGCGATTGATTATTATCGATTATATGTGCTAGGGATTGCAATTTGACGTAATTATATTTTATTAAAATCTCTATAGGATTTGAGATGTCTTTACATTGGGAAAATTCGTCAGTATTTATTTTGGAACAAAGGTTTAAGGTATCATATAATAAATTTTCAATTTTATTGAGATAAGGAGCTAAAGGTATAAGGTCTATATGTGTTATAACCTTCCAATAATCGTTATAAAAGTTAATATGCGTAATAGGTTCAAAATAAATTCCAGGACTATGTGATATAGGTATGATCCTCGACTCAGCGTGGCTTTGGCTTCCATAGCATAAAGCTCTGAAAAATATATAAAATAAGTTAAATTTAAGGAGTGTTAATAGCAGGCTTAATCTCGTTTATATGATACTTAACATGTTTACGACCTACTTGTAAAGTAACGTTGTGCTTATTATGGACTTTTATAATTTTATATGGACCTTTCCATATAGGTGATAGGGCCTTACGAAGTCGGTGATGGTGTTTTATATAAACTAAGTCACCAATTTTATACGAAATTTCTCGTGAACTTACATCGTAATATTGTTTGGATTTTTCTTTGCTATTAATTATATTTTGAATGGCCTTTTCTCTACTAAAACGCATTCGATATTGTAAAGCTCGAATATATTCATTATAAGTAGTATTATTGTTCGTTTCATATAGAGAATTAGGGATATTAGGTTTATAACCATATAATAATTCATGAGGGGTGAAATTGGTAGTGCAATGAGGGGTAGTATTATAAGCTAATATTGCGGTAAATAAATAACAATGCCAGTCGTTCTGGTTTTCATTAACGAAAGATTTTAAGTATTCTTTTAAAGTAGCATGTGAGCGTTCTAGAGCTCCATTTGTTTGTGGGTGGTAAGGAGTAGTAAATAAAGCCTTGACTTTTAAGATTTGAGTTAATTCTTTAAATAAATCAGACGTAAAACAAGTACCTAAATCCGTTAAGATTGTTTTAGGGAAACCGAAAAGAGACATAAAATGTACAAGATTTCTGGCTATTTCTTCACTGGTAGCTGTGACCAGGGGATAAGCACTTGAAAATTTAGTTAAATCATCTTGTAATGTAAGGATGAATTTGAATTTTTGAAAACCTGCGTCAGGTAAAGGACCAACGATGTCGAGAGCTAATCGTTCAAACGGTCTAGTGGAAGTAGAAGTTATTTCCATTGGGGCCTTATTGGACATTCTTAATGGTTTATTAATTTGGCATAATTGGCATTTCTTTACATAATCTACAATGTCAGAGCGCATACTTTTCCAATAATAGGCGGCTTTAATTCGTCTATACATACGACTTGAACCTGGGTGACCCGCAATAGGTGAATCGTGATTCTCTTTTAAAATTTTAGGGATTTCGACGGGAGTAGGATAAATTAATTGATTTTTGTATATATGAACTTTAATGTTAGTGTTATGAAAAATATAGGCAATCATATTATATACTTTAATATAAGCTAGCTTAGAAAATGGATCTGAAAAGTCTGATAAGGCGAGATCTGTAATATCAGGGTTCTCGATTAAAATTTTATCTCTGAGTTTTATAATTAAATTGTAAATATCTTTAAATTTGGTTTCTTCATAATGATGAATTTTAGTGTACATAAAATAGTAAGATTTATTCTTATCCTTTACGCATTGAATTGTAAATGGTTCGCGTTCGGAATTTAATAAGTCCTCAGGCTTGTCTAATTGTGCTAATATTTCTTCACAGTGAGGTATAGATGAGTCAAAATCTAAAGAGACGGGACAAGCAATAATTTTTAGTTTGGATAGGTGTAATCCTTGAGTACATTCTAGGATTATTGTATTTGAAATAGGAGTTTTATTTGTAAATTGGTCTTTAAAATATTTTTCATAACTAGAATTGTTTAAAGTGTTAATATCTATAACATTAACGGGACAGCGAGATAACGCATCGGCGTTAGAATTAAGACGGCCTTGTTTATAAACAATTTCGTAATCGTATTCTTCGAGTTTTAAGCGCCAACGAATGAGTCTACTACCTGGGTCTTTGACATTGAATAGCCATACCAATGGTCTATGATCGGTAACTATTTTGAATTTATTACCGTAGAGGTAAGGACGAAACGTTTTGACTGCGAATAGAATGGCTAGAAGTTCCTTTTCGGTAGTTGAATAGTTGCCTTCGGGACGGTTTAGAGTACGTGATGCATAAGCTATCGGTTTATCTTTGCCTACAGGACCTTGGGATAAGATTGCGCCTACGGCATAATTCCTTGCATCTGTAGTTACTATGAACGGTTGAGAGAAATCTGGATATTGGAGCAGCGGAGCAGTGATTAATTTTTCTTTTAAAACATCGAAAGCAATTTGTTGTTCTTGAGACCAGTGGAAAGTAGTATCCCTTTTTAATAAAGAAGTAAGTGGTTTTGTCAATTTAGAAAAATTATCAATAAATCGGCGATAATAGCCTATTAGGCCTAGGAAGGATTTAATTTCTTTAGGGCTCTTAGGAATTGGAAATTGTGACACTGCTTTTACTTTTTCTGGATTAGGAGAGACACCCTTATCGGTGATAATATGACCAAGATAAGTTACTTCACGTCTTAAAAATTCGCACTTATCTGGTTGCAATTTTAGATTGTATTCGCGCAGCTTATTGAATACTAGTTTTAATTTTTCCATATGTTCATTTAAATTATGACTATAAATTATGCAATCATCTAGATAAACATAACAGTGTAGACCTTGCAAACCTGATAAGACAGTATTCATCAGGCGCTGGAAGGTAGAAGGAGCGTTTTTTAAACCAAAGGGCATTCTAGTGAATTCGTAGTGACCAGACATGCTCGAATTAGTACTTATAGTAAATCCCGTTTTTGGGGCATCTTTAGGATCCATCTTTATTTGGTGGAAACCGCTAGCAAGATCAAGGGTTGTGAAATACTTGGAATGGCCTAATTGGTCTAGGATATCAGTGATAAGAGGCAGGGGATAACTTTCAGAAACTGTGATATCATTAAGACGGCGATAGTCAATGACTATTCTCCACTTTCTTTTGCCAGAAGCGTCTAATTTTTTCGGGACTACCCATACAGGGGCGCTCCAAGGCGAAACAGAGGGACGAATTATGTTTTGATTTAGCATTTTGCGAATTTGTGTATCGACTTCTTCCTTATGACACTCAGGGAAGCGATATGATTTTACGTAAACTGGGGCCGCGTTACCCGTATCTATGGAATGTTGGATGCCATTCGTAAACGAAAGGGGTTCACCTTCGAGGTGAAAGATATCCGTATAATCGGAACAGCAATTTAAAAGTGCTTTCTTTTCTTCATCGTTGAGATGGGAGCAGCGTAAAAGACTTAATACTCGATCTATTCGATTAGATTTAGTAGTAGAAATAGAATATAAACATTTACTAGATATTGGATTTTCGCAGGAAATAGAATTATTATAATCGATCGGTGTCAATTCTACGAAATATTCTTTAATTTCTAAGTCTGTGTCAGTCGTGTTTAAAACGGTGATGTTAACTTTTTTGTTTGGTTTTATTGACACAATACAATTCGCGACGTAAATACCCTCGCTTAAGGTATGATCTAGAACTAAGCCTTCATTATTGTGATAAAGCTCGACCGAGTGATTTGATATAGCGCATTCAATGACGGCTTCTGAGCGTGCCGGAACGATGTATGTTGGCTGATGAAATATAATGGGAACTTGGTAACCACACAGAGTCATTATCTTAGAGCTATAATCTATATTAGCATTGAAATATTTAAGAAAATCTGTACCAATAATACCGTCGTAATTAAGATTTATATTATCGTTAATAACGTAGAATTTATACTCGTAAGTTTCATCACTTAATAAAAATTGTAAGTAGATTGAGCCTAGCGTTTCGCAATATGTATCCGTATCATTTATACCTTTGATTCTTATTTTGTCCTTAAGAAGTTCATGTTTCATTTTTAAACATGAGTGTTTGATGACACAGACACTCGCGCCGGTATCGATAAGAAGTTTGAGACACTTAGGAGAATATTTTGTAAATAGATTTGTATATGGTAACGAAACTTTGCATGTATTTATGCTCGTTTCAAAGATAGGAATAGAATTAGAATAAGATTCATTAAGACTCGGCTTAACCTCTTTGGGTTGCTGAGATGAAGATATAGTAAACGATTTAGTAGGACTCGGTTGTACCTTTTTGGTCAACTGAGATGCATAAGGACTAGCAAGACTCAGCTTCACCTCTTTGGGTTGCTGTGATGTAGATATAGTAAACGATTTAGTAGGACTCGGTTGTACCTTTTTGGTCAACTGAGATGCATAAGAACTAGCGAGACTCAGCTTCACCTCTTTGGGTTGCTGAGATGTAATAGACTTATAATAACTCAGTTCCTCTTTGGGTAACTGAGATGTAAATGAGCTAGAATGACTCGGTTGCTTGCTAAAGCATTGCCGAGATGAGTTAGAATAAGAATTAGAATAAGATTTAGCATAAGGATTTTTATAAGATTTAGTAGAAAAAGTAGTATTAATTGTTTTCGTGTCGTTACGATAGTACGATTTCGGCAGACACGCATCCGAAATCTTATTCAGTTTAAAGAGTTAGAGTTATCGACAGCGTCGTCGTTATCATACGTCATGTGTATAGGCACAGGGTTGGAACTAGAATTGGAAATAGGGTTACGACTTATAAAATTAGAATTATTATTTGGGCTACGATTTATATAATTAGAGTTATGATTAAAGTTTTTATTAAAATTTTGACGTTATTGCATATTATATTGTCGCTTTCTACATTGATCAATAGTGTGCCCTATGTTTTTGCAATAATTACACATTAATTTACCAGAATTAGAACTAGATAAATGCGAAATTTGTTTATTATGATTATAATTAGAATGTTTTTTATTTTTAAAACATTGAATAGCAACATGGCCTACTTTATTACATATACTACACTGTTTTATTGAATTTTTTGAACACGTTTGGAGATTTTGTAATTTTTCCTCTTCTATCGCTAATTGAACAGCTTCATTTAGAGTTTGAGGGTTCCTACATCTAACAATAGTAGAAATAGCAGGATTTAACCCTAACAAAAATGTATTTAATGCTAGATCCTCCATGGCGGCTATTCTACCTGGAAGCTCATCAGCGTTTTTGCAACTATAGTGTATATCTGATTGAATTTTTGTTAAAATTTGTTCTAATTTTAAAGAAAACTTAGTGACGTCCTCGGATGACTGTTTACAGTTTTGCAAGTCTGATAGTAAATGTGTCGCGTGTTTTTTCTCCCCAAAAGTAGAACGGAGAAATGATTTTATTTGATTCCATGTTTCAAAGGTTTTTAAACTACATGCAACTTGTGCTTTTCCCTCTAGTTGTGAGATGATGAATTTGCACAGAATAGGCTGTTGTTCTGGTGTAGCTAACGACATTGCATTGTCGCAGTTTGTAAGAAAAGCGGGTAGGGAATCTTTCTCCCCATTATAGGATTTTATAAATTTCGTCAAGAATGAAAGCGTGATTCTTTCCGACATATTTTCTTTACCTTTTTCTGCTTTAAGCGACATAGAATTAAATTTTAAATATTAATCTTATATAAAATAATCACAATGAAACAACGTAAAAGATTGGTAATAGTACAGAAACAGTGTAAAATAAAAGTAAATTTTAAATTTAAACAGAATACAAAATGACTTACAGAATGGTAATAATTTCTACACGTAGCATTTAAGCGTCGTAACAATAGCTAGGTGAAACGTTACACTCGTGGCGGCTGGCAGGCGAGATCGCTGACGCGGTGACTCCGTCACGTCGTGGGAAATAGCAGGACCGGAAGGCGTAGAAAGTTCTTGAAATAGTTTTTGTTGGTGAGTTAGATCCAGCTGGTGCGGGCTCCTGGTGGAGACTTATCGTCGGCCAGACGGGAGATTTCAGGACCAGGTGTAAGTGGAGCGGGCTCACGCTTCAGAGCGGAGGCTGATCGTCGTCCAAAATTGTGGTAGGTGCAGGCTTAGGCACGGCTAAGGCTTAATGTCGACCTTGATGATTTCGGGGACCTCGGATTCGGATGCCAATGTCTTCTATGACCTTCTGTTTGGCATCCCACTTCTGACACCAATTTGTTAGGAGGCCGATCCCGTTTGACTTTTTAAAAAAAAACCACAAGGTAAACCTAAGGGTTTATTATAAAAAGTTTACACACACAATTAATATTAACCCTGACTTCCGAACTCTAATACGTATCGGAATCTATGTCCGATCTACCCGGGGCTCTGAATCTAACTGACTGTAAAATGGAATGAAATTAATATGGAAAAGAACAATGCAATTACTGATTGACGTCATATATAGGAAAAGTACCGTGGGATTGAATAAATGCTTACTAAGATTTAACTGCGTTGTAAAAAGGGATATAACAGTACCATCTCAATGGAGGACAATTATACAATGTGCTAAGAAGAAAGGTAATCCCTACCAAGTTCATGATTTAAATTATTCAGACATTTTTGATTTAAAAGAACTAATTGCACACTTTGGGAAAAATTTTACAATAAATACAGAAGTAGTGTGGAATGATATCAAGAAAATATTTATGCAAGCTACTAATCCTTTCGCTATTTATTACTTGGATACTTATAAACCTGACAGTACAATGAAATGCTTCAATGTTCGGCATAAAATGCGGGGCAAGCCTAACGAAACATTAGTTTTGACAAATAAATATCGCACTCGTCCTGGAATATCAAATCTTAAAAAGAAAGATTTGATTTCATTATGTGATGGTAACGTAATTCCAAGCGTTTATTGGGATTATTATAAAACATTGCCAGCGTCCTCAGATAGAGCTGACGATGACTAATTGTTCCATTTTTTATATTTTCTTTCTTATAAATAAAAAAATGTTATAAAACTATAAAAGTGTTTTATTAATTATTCTCTAAAAATGCAATTATTTGCTAAGGTTCTCTAGATTTCATTTTTATTTAGGACATTATTTAAGAAAAATACAAAGTTTTTTAATTCAGTACTGGTACATTCAAAAATAATCCATTATCAGAGGGATATTTGCATTCGATAAATTAATTCAGTAGTGGAACATTTCAAATATTTACTTATAATTAAAAAACAAATAATAAAAAATGAATGAATTTAATAGAAATCATAAATGTAAAGTCTAACCAAAATATAACAACATTAAAAACAATCCTTTTTTCTCTTAACACTTGCTAAATGGAAAAATAAGAATTTCAAATTTTTTATTGCTCGATATCTCACATTTACTCATTTTGAAATGTTCCACTACTGTTTTCGACCGACGATATTGACGTTGACATGACGTTGTTGTTGTTGTTGTTGTTTTTATTATTCGCTTGAGAGAGCAGGCAAAGGAACAAAGCTATACAGCCTTGTCTTTTTTATTTTGAATATTCCTTCATATTTCACGGCTTCACAATATGTAGATGCATCACATTGTGCAGCCCTTGGGAGATTTTGACGGCAACTTCAGCCAGCGGACAGGTGACAGTTGACGATGGTATCAAAAGGCGCTTCTTTAGCAGACAAACAGCTTATCTTGAGAATACATCACCATCAGAGCACTTTTTTCACCATTTCCACTAATAGTTCACATGCGTAGACAGTTAATACACAAATTCGCACCACTTTTACATATCAAAATCCACTTCAAACTATTATTTAAACTATAATACAGGAGCAGCAAACCGCCGCCGGTCAAGTTCCCGCCAAAACTCCGACTTCTTCCCGATGTATTACTTTTCTCTATGGACTTAACGTTGATCGTTAACAAATGCGTAGCTATCATGAAGTTATAGATAAAGATGGAGGCCACACTTGGAACAACAGCTTGAGTCAAATATCTACGTATCTTTATCTCACTCTCTGCGGTCTGACTTCTCTTTTTAGTGTGGAATACAGTATTGCTATATTTTTATTTAAATCTCCTGGTAAATTCTTAGAAATAGTTTCCACAATAACCAAATCAGAAGTATAAGCTCTGTAAAATAATGTTCCAATAAATAAATAGTTTAACTACGATTAATTACATTAAAAATTCCAAAATTGAAGGTCTCGTATGCATTATTGGGTTAACGAATCAGTGAATTACAACTCCATTTCCTAAGGGTTCGGTAATGTGGCAACATTAGCCCTATACAGTGTTGCCGATTTGGCATTTTTAATGCTAAATTTGGCATATTTTTAAATCTGTTGGCATGAAAAAATTGGCTTTAGCATATTGCATATTTAAGCATCTTTCGAATTTTACCTACTAATGATGTTAACTATTTTTATGGGATAGACAAATTGTTCACAATCACTGCCATATCTATTATATATTATTCTGTACAAAAGATTGAATTAAACCCATAGACAAAAAAATTAAAATTGTTACTATGATTGATTATTATGGCAACTCTGTTATTAATTGGGGAATTTCCCGAATAGTGAAAGATTTTGTTTAGTATTCCGAGTAAGCAATGTGTAATGTTTTGTTTCATTCGGATTCAGAACATTACTTAACAAGTGCGAGTACCGATACTTGTAAAAGCTTTAAAATAAACGTCTGTGTTTTTGTTTTGTGTGTGTGTGCTTTAAAAGTAGTTTACAATTGACTTTTGAGGGAAAATATGCCTCCAAAATATGAACAACATTATCGAGAAGAGTGGGAGAAGATGAGTGAGTTTAAACAATGGCTTACACGAGCTAAAGAAGATTCGACCAAAGCTTACTGCAAATACTGTAAGTGCGACATTATAGCCAAAGTATCCTGTCTAAAACAACACATTGTTACATCAAAACATGCGAAACATGTTGCGCCGAAAAAAAGTCAAAAAAAATTGATTTTCCTAAGGTGCATATTCAACTAGTTACCCAAAAAGCAGAGTGTTCACTTGCATTATTTATAAGTGAACATGCATCTACTCTAACAGTGGACCATTTGTCCGAAATGTGTAAAAAAACATTTTCTGATAGTCGAAGTGCCGATATTAAATTACACCGAACGAAATGTACCAACATCATTAAATTTGCATTGGCTCCACACTTTATTTCACAATTGGTTGCAGACATAGGCCATAATAAGTTTAGTATACTGGTTGACGAATCCACAGACATCTCAGTCACAAAAATTCTCGGCACATCAATCCGATATTATGACAGTTCACATAAAAATATTATCACGACATTTTTAGGATTGGTTGAGATAGAAAACGGGACAGCTGATGCTATAGTAAACGGCCTCAAGACCCTTTTTGCAGAGCTTAAACTAAATATGAAAAACTTGATAGGGATAGGAACTGACAATGCCAGTTCTATGACTGGTGTCAACAACGGTGTTCACAGCTTATTAAAAACTGAAACTGGCAATGAAAATCTGGTTTTGGTGCGGTGCCTTTGCCATTCCCTGCAATTAGCTATCACTCATGCGTCTGAGAAGTCACTTCCGAGAAATATTGAGTTTTTAATCCGAGAAACATATAATTGGTTTAGCCACTCCTCCAACCGACAGTTGTTTTACAAGGAGCTATACAAGACCATTAACTGTGGAAAAGAACCATTGAAAATAACTCAGGTATGCAGTACGCGATGGTTGTCTATTGAGCCTGCTGTCCGCCGGGTTATAGATCAATGGCTGGAACTAAAATCGCATTTCGAAATTGTCAAACAAAAAGAAAATTGCTATATGGCTGAAATTCTTTATTCTATGTATAACGATCCTGTGAATCATCTGTATCTGCTATATTTATTGCCTATTTTAGATGAAGTGCAAAGGGTAAATAAAAATTTTGAAAGCAACGACCGAGACCCGACTAAACTGCTGAATGATTTGGTTGAACTGGTTGAATCAGTGGCCAGAAGAATCATATTGCCAACAGCGCAAATTGATGTGTTAACAGCTACAAATCTTGAAAGCTATCTAGACCCATCTCCATACATGGGCTATGGTTTCGAACTAAAGCTGACTGAATATGAACTTTTACCTGAAGCCGAACGTAATCTGCGGCACCGCTGTAAGCAGTTTACACTTAAACTTATACAAGAAATGCGATCAAGGTTGCCAACAAATATAACAATACTACGAACAATGAGTATGCTTTCTGTACAAGAAACTTTAAAAGCTATAAAACCACCGATAATAAAACTAGCACAAGAGTTCGGCTGCCAGGCCAATGAAATAGAACGTATAGTTGTACAGTGGAGGAATATTCGACATACCGACTGGGAAAATAAGTGTTCAACTGTCGAATTTTGGTCGGAGGTTTATGGATACAAAGACTCGGCGGATAATCCATTTTCGGAGTTAGCTTCTTTGGCCATATCTATTCTTTCTTTGCCACACTCGAATGCTGAGATAGAACGAGTATTCAGCCAAATGAATATAGTAAAAACAAAGTTAAGAAATCGTATGTCACTACATACACTGAACTCGATCCTACACATCAGATATGGCCTTAAAAGATCAGGAAAATGTTGTCATTCCTATAACGTTCCCGAAAATGTTTTAAAACAGATTAGAGGGATTAAAGAGTCGCTTGTAATGCCAATGACTATTGCTATTGAAGATGGCCCTTCAACATCACAAGCACAAGCACACGACGAAGCTGATATTGATGATCTACAAATATTATTTGATTTATATTGATGATTAAAATTACTTTAAAATAGCACTGCATTTTTAGTTACACTACCTACTTGCAATTTATTTTTATTTCTTATTCATTTAAACAAGACTTAGCAGCTGGCATTTTTTTTGGCATATTCAAGTGTGATTTAGCATTTTTTTAGCATTATCGCCGCCAAAGTCTAGCATTTTTTTCATTTATAAAACGGCAACACTGGCCCTATATGTCAACATAAATTAGACAAATATGGCGGTTGTTTACTTAACAGTTCACAGCGTCGTTTGAGATATTTAAAGATAATTATTGTTATAATTCAAGAAATGGTGCAAACTAGTGTATTACGTGGTTGCGGCAGTAGTTGATGTCCAGGAAGTGATATAAGATTTCACACGTAAGTGTTTAAATAGTGACTTCTGGCATTGAATACTTGTAAACATACTTCTTTGTATTTTCACTTAATTTTTTGCTGAAAAGTTTTATCAGTGTTTTAAACATATTAGTAAATTATAACTTTGTCTAAATCAAATAGTTTTACATTGAATTTAATTGACTTTGAACAATCTTATTGTTTTTGTTTAAAAGAAATCGCACTGAAGTAGTGTGACCATATTGACGATGTATCTCAGACTTTCCGTGTGAACTTAACTAATTATATGTACATGTTTCTTATTATGTTACCGGAAATGCATGAAATTTAAGAATTGTGTACAATTTCTATGTATTCTATATAATGACGGATTTCATAGATTTCATAATATTAAGTTAGTAACACAATATATTTTTTTGGCAGACAATTTACTTTTACTTAATTTTTGTTTCTCATTATTCTAATACTTTAATAACGTTTACAATAATTACGAATATTTTTTTTAGATTTCCTAAAACAGTACGCGGAGAAATTTGTTGTTATCCATTGTACCATTGAAAATTCAAAACCAAAGATTTGCATTTTCAAGAATCAGATTATGATTCAACAACAAGGTGCTTAAAACCAACAGCAGTTCCTACTGTTATAAGAAATCAAGAAACAGTATCACCAGGCAAGGTAAAAATTTAATATAATTTAATTATCTATTTTTCGTAATATATTATGTATTTAGAAATGTAGTAGTTTAAATGTATGATATAAAGCAACATTTTGTAAAATATGTTATCATTTGCAGACAACAAGTGCATGACATGAAGAGTCTATTGTGCAAATGGCTGCTCTGGCTGTAGCTATACCAAGCACTATTTCTGGAATTAATGAAAGTAGTTCTGCACTTAAGGAAACAGGAATGAAATGTACTGGCTGTAATATTGAAGACCAAACTAGTAAAAAAGAATGTCGAAAAATTCTTGAAAATTTATGCAACCTGAACAAGTTACCTGTAAGTTTCCTTTTCCTTTATTACTAAATACATACCTTTTATTTGTATTTATTATGACTTTAATATTACATTACATAATGTATTATATAGCTTAAAACACATACATATTTAAACTCTTTAGTGCCAGTCGTATTGTGGTAACCGTCACTACGACACTAAGCATGAAGCTTCTTGTTTGACGCTTCATTTATGTGTGCTCACGAAGTCACGCTCCGGTGTATTATGTGTTACCTATTAAGTGACATAAATTTGTACTGACATTATGACGTTCTGACATTAAGAGTTATTTGTTTCTTTTTTTTTTGTTTAATTCTCTAATCTCTGGAACCATACCAGTCAGATTTGAAAATATTTTTTGCATTTTTAAAACCA